TAATCAGGTCATTTGGACTAGTTTCAAGAGAGAGGGAAACGTCCCGATGCTGTTCTTTCTGCTTCTGCAGCTGTTGTTTGGATAACCCTTCGTTCTTTCATTTACATATTGCAGTCAGGGATGAAGTAGGCTTGGGGTAACCTAACAATTAAGGCTGAGCAACAATTAAGGCTAACAATTAAGGCTGAGAAACTTGGAAATTTAAATATTTTATCTTGGTAAAAACATCGATTGAAGCAAAACAAGTTCATTTATCGAAGCCAGGTTCATTAACTCTTTTGAAATTAAATTTTCATTTTTCAGACGGTTTGACGATTTCAAAATAATTAGGCAGAATAATATCTGTTTTGCACCTTTGACATCGCGTGAAAGAAGACCCGCTTAAAGCCATAATGAGGTAACATTGGCTTTCTTTCTAATTACGATCACTATTCAACATATAGTGGTGGGTAATTTAGGCGACGCTTAAATTTACTTTATGCTGAAATTTTTCCTTCGTTCAAAGATTTGAATAAAGACCCAGTTTATTAGAAAGGACCAGAAATAGCTTCGCCCTATATTTCCGTTCATCAGCAGTCTTCCAACACGGTTTTTGCGATTGATTGGTACGATACCACAACATACATTACACAGCCGTCTCGTTTAACATCCCATGATGAAAAACCTCGAAACCTATTTACATGCAGCAAATATGCGAATTTCTTGAGAGATATAAGTTCTTACAATTGGATCAATGATGTAGATTTCAGTCATGTGATGTAAGCCATATTTTACCGGATTGCTCGAAATAAAAGTGATTCTTAAATTATATGTGCATGTGTAGAAATAAGCGTTCGAACAATACAGGTTCACTCCAGGTATTTCAAACTTGCAACTGCATATATCGAAATTCATACCTGATGTATATAGTGGATATCTCATTCAGTTTGTTAATTTTTAGTGGATATATTTTTGTTTCGTTCGAGCAGATGGGGAAAGCATCTTCAATGCGGTTATTGACGTGCAATCCTTTGGCACCTCTAGTTTTGTTGTACTGGCTCATGGCCTCTGGATTCTGTAGTCCAAAAGATTTTCATCCAGGAAGTTTTCAATGCAAACCTTTTGACGAACATCGAATCCGTATTAAGTGCAGCGGAATTAAACACGTACCACGTGACCTTCCACCCAATACGGCAATACTGTGAGTACCTTCGTGCAACTACGTTTTGTGTACAACATCTTATTATGAAACTGAAAGACAAAGACAATCAATAACCTTCCTTTGTAATCAATCATTTTGTGCTACACAGCTTCCTTATCAATTTTTTTCCCTATTTAGGGATTTGTCAAGCAATCAACAGAGCTCGATCCAAGAATTTACCTTCAGAAATCTGACAATGCTCAAGGAAATGTATGTGATCGAAAGAAGCTCGCTCTTTTATCAATGTTTAATAACCGTTTCATAAGTGC